TGTTTTTCTACTGTACATATGGTCAATATGCATTGAAACTGACTCAGTGGCACCTACCAACAATTATTAGGGTTAGAAATTGTTCATGTATATTCCATGAGTGATACTGTCATATCATTTCACTTTAGCATTTATGTGTTAGCTTAGATTCTCTAGAGAAGCAAATTCACTGAAGCTTGAATATATTTGAATACAGAAAGAACTTTTTCGTAAGAAATGGCTTACACAATTTTTAAGTAGGCAAGTCCAGTCTGGGCCAAGTCAGACTTCTCCTGACTCGTGGAAACTGACAGAGCTGCAGCAGGATGATGAAGAGGTGGCAGGGGGCACAGGTTGGTGGATGGAGATGAATGAATCTCAAGTCAGTCCCCAGTAGGCAGCCCACTGATGGTGCCTTGGATCAGCAGGTAATTGAGGGAAGCAGATCCAGATCCAGTCCAGGTGAGGATCACAGCGAATCTGACTGATTGGTTTCTGTCTTATACATATGGTCACACCTCCACAGAGGTGTCATCAGGCTGTGACCCAATGACATATTGGGCTCTACCCCACCCTCAACCAGCAATGTGTAGTTGGCATAACGCCTAACCATCACAGAATATATTTTTATGCCAGCCTCATAAAAAAGCAGAGGAAATTCTTTTGTTTCTTATACTTAGGCAGATGTATGCTAATGTCTGAGTAACTATTTTAAGTGAAACATGCTATTTTTTGTTTCCACACTAAATGGCTCTTTTCCTTGGTTAAAAAAAACAAAAAATTTTCCTTGATATTCTTTTCAGAGTACTTTGCATGGAAATCAATAAATCACTAAAATAGCATTCGTGACCCATATTAATTTTTTAGGTACCAGAAAGTAAATTCACCAAACTGCTACTTCTTAAAATCATACTCCCATTTGGTTTCTGACCTTAAAGACAATTAATTTTACAGGAAAAAAAATAGTACTTCAGTGTTTCTTCGAACGCAATCTTTGGTTCATGTTAGTACAAATAATATGAAAGTTTTAACTTACCAAAAGTAAACATGAATAATCAATACAATTTTATTTAAAACATATAAAAACATATTTGACACTTTCTTTTTAGTTTAGCAAGATGAAGTATATAAATTATTTTTATTCTTAATTCCTCAGAGGCATTAGTGACATTTTAAGGGTATGAAAACCCAATGTCCCCTTTCACATCCAACTCTTTACAAGTTGTAGTATGCCAATTTTCAGATGATAGTGTTTAAAGATAAAAATTTCTCATTTTTCTGTATGTATTATTTAATTCCTTCTGAATTTTTTTTTTTATATTTTCAACCTTGGGACAAAGACTGACTGAACATCATTTTCAAATATGGTAATATAATGTTCATATAATGGTTTCTGTGACATTAACTCAATGTTTTTGTACATGGAAATAATTACATTTAATATTTTTATTTTAAATGTGATTGAGCAGCTAAGATCATCTCTTAGTTTTGTTTATAATAATTTCTTCTCAAAATTTTAAACCATCTTTATCAGAATTATTAAAAATAAAACCATGGTGAGAAAAATCATATATCCTAAGTTGAATAGTATCTAATACGTCTTACCATGGTGTATCATGGCTTTTGACCAAAATACCTTTATTTCAATGTGGTAGCTTTAAAAAAAAAACTATTTATTTTAGAGTCACATTTATGACTAGTTGTCTGTAAGATACTTAAATTAAGTATACTTGTATGTTTTTACAATCTAGAACCATCCAATATAAAAGTGCCACTGTTTATGGATTTCAGTTCAGTCTAGATCTTCTTTACTTATTCACTCTTATTGAGTCCTTTGATGCACTAAAATTAAGTAATTACATAACACCAAAACCTCAAGCACACTGCAAGATGCTACTCTCTTCATTGACAGGCACAGTATAGGAGTACTCCTCCTCAGTTCTTTCATTTGACAAAGATGAGTCTCCATTAAGTAATTACACCAAAGTAGTATCTGAATTCTCAAGGATATGATCTTACATCCTAGGCACACAATAGCACTTAGCCTTCACTGTACCTATATACCCAGCACAAATTTTATTTGCACTACATTTTAAAAACAGCAATATTGTGAGTTATACAACTCTTTTGCATGTGACTGGGTCAAATATTGCTTTCTATACTATGGATATGAGTGGTTGACTTTAATTGAAAATTTTGGAACAGACTTTTAAGGAGTGTTTCCAACAGGGCTTATAGAGTTTAGAAGCAGCCATCATGTTTAAATTGAATAACTAATGACTCTGAATAAGCACATGATTATGAACTTGGTACATTCTCTGGTAGCTGATTACTTTTGCTCTTATAGGGTAAAGTCAATTTCCTAAGTTATGTCAGTTACTATAGCATTATACACAAAAAATTTCAATGGAAAAACACCTGGAAAAATCTTAAAGACCTTTGTACTTGTGTAACAGTTAAACTCACACTTTTTAAAAATATGTGCCGATCCAGATGTCTACTTCATAAATGCCACATACAGGATGTATTAAGAATACTTACTGAACACTACTTTCCCTCTATTAAACAGACATGAAATAAATGAAATTTCATAAAATAAACAAGTAGACATTTTGAATATTATGTAATATATTTCATGTACACTTTTATTAGAGGAACATTTACTACATATAACAAAATAGGATACTGTTTAATGACACACACTCAAAGAAGACCAGGATAGTAACATAACGATAATCAGTAACAGCAGTTTTTCAACAATATATGTTCTTAATGAGAACAGATTTGGTTTCCACAAAGCAATTAGACTGACTGAAAAGATGAATAATTTATAAAAGAATCCATTATGATTCATAAATATATTATACCACTTAATTTTCTCTTGTAACCATATTCTTAATCTGTTAAATTCAAATCTATAGTGTTTTAAAATTAGGCATTTATTTGCTCTTATTTATGGTCAAAATGATCTAAACTGTGTTCCAAGTCAAATAGAAAGTGATACCTGAAATTTCAAAGCATTCCTCCATAAGACTCATCAAACTTTAGTTATTCCTAATGGTTTGAAAAGTAATTTAATCAATGTAATTACTAATTACTACACCGTTATAAGAACAGATTCCATACATTTTCCCCTTAAAGAATGGTGCGTGACAGAGTCACTTCCAATTCACAGTAGCCCCGTAGACAGAGTAGAACTATGTCACAGGTTTTCCAAGACTGAACTATTTCTGGGAATAGGATTACTATGGCATGCTTCCTGCAAGGCTACCAGTGGGTTTGAACCAATGACCTTTCAATTAGCAGTAGAATACTTAACTCATGCCAACTCCACTAATCACTGATAATACTACGGGGTACCCCAAAACACCTGAATTGTGCTGGGTGGAGCAGAGCTTTCCTTGTGTGCATTTCTCCCGCTGCTAGGTGAGCACCCAGCAAACTCATTCTGAGTTAGTGCACCCAGTGGCATACCCTGGGAAGGTTCTTTGGTCACAGTGAATTTTTTTGTAAAAACAGTTTTGCTCGAACATCGTTTTTTGTGATGGCCGATTTAAGAGAACAATGTGTGCTACAAAATTTTGTTTCCTGATCAGGAAAAATGCTGCAGAAACTTGTGTTGTTGAACAGAGCTTACAAGCAGAGTGTTATGGTAAACACTCAAGTGTACGAGTGATTTTATCTTTTGAAAAAAAGGTGAAATGACTGATGACAAAAGTTGTTCTGAACGTCCTTTCAACTTCCCGAACGGATGAAAATTTCCACTCGCTGTGCACTTGGGTGTTCCTCCCACATGGTCAGACTATTAATCGA